GCCAGCCACAGGCGAGGCTCCGGCCCCAAGCCCTGCTTCTGATGCTGCCATGTTTGTTCCCACATTGTTTGCATCTGTTTTTGCGTTGGCCTTTGGTTTCTTTTTCTAAGTGTTTTTAGCCTCTTGAGCTTGTTTGTCCCATCATTTGTGGTTTTGCTTCCTTTTTTTTTCCAATTTTAATTTAATCAATGTTTAGATAATCTACATTCCATGACTCGTGTTGTTGTTTGATGGTGATGTGAGTAGTTTCCATTGGTTTTGTATATTGTATGCATGCAAAGTACCATTGCATGTAGGGTCTGCTTCCTCTAAATTCTTTTTTTGCACTCAAACGAACCAATCAACGGATTTTGAGGATTAATTATAAAATATAATTTAACCTAAGGAACTTTCAAACTAAGACCAAACCGGCTCCAAAAATACAAGTACTGAATCTGAGTTCAATCAGAAGACAACAAGTAAGAAAAAGATGAGCTTTTCTAAAAAAAAAAATGATAATGGTTGGCTTAGGGATTGCAAGAAAAGAGTCGGTTGATTTCAAAAGATGTGAATGAGCTGTGGAATTTTGGAAGGTAGTGTTGGAACATGTGGGCATCATGATCATCAACATCAACATCAACATCATCATCATCATTATGGTGTTTGGGGGCTTGGGGGGTTCAGGCAGAGGAGTTACAACCCTATAAATTAAATGGGATTTGGCTTTTTGCCATGTGACGGCCGAAAATGAATTAAAAGGTGATCACACGAAATGATCCTTGGATGGCCCAAAGATCAAAGAGAAGGAAAAAAATAGTTGGAATCTTAATTGAACTAATCATACAATGTAAAATCAATATGGAAATCAGATTAAGCAGCCTATATACATGTATATGAACATTCAAAACCAAAACCAAACCACATACTGAGATTACCATTTCCTTTTTTTCTTCATCCAACCAAACTTTTGGACAAAAAATAAAAGATAAAAGAGGGTTATATAGTGGTGAGTGTATGAAACTAATCAGACAAGAATATGCCTATGCATGTGAGATGCAAGAAAAGGCAAAATGGGAAGAAGCAGGATGAGTCCAATCCATACCTTAAGCCTTAGAAAAGTGGCTTCCTCCTTTTGCTTTCTTCCTCGGTTCTTTCCAAATGTTTCTTTATCTCCTCTTTGTGACCTGTGAATCGTCGTTAGAGACAGACACTTGCCTATGTCTGACTTTTAAAAACTACGATTTCATATCAACGCCCTTAAGCGGTTCATTGAATGCATTTCACAGATTCAAAACGGATCTACAATGTCCCAAATGTCCAAGGGAACCTAGTTTAAGATTTAACAAGTCATACAAAAGATGATTTCCAATCCAAGCAAGAGCCAGAGAAAAACTGAACCTGAGTTGTGTTGGCAGCTCTTGAGGGCCTAAAAACAAGAAAGCCACCAAACAACCACTTCCACCCCAAATCTTTTTAAGTTTCAACCTCCAAAGTCTTCTGGTGAAGGCACGCATCCTTCAAAGTCGGAAAAAGAAAAAGAAATATACAGTTGACACAAAAGGGACGATGCCCGGGAACCAATCATCGGGGAGGGGAATCTTCCTGGAAAAAAATTGAATAAATACGAACTCAGGTGAGATATTTGGTAATGGACAAGGATGGATTTTCACAAGACTGTGTTAATGTGAAGGGCTTTGAGGAGCGAAGTGGCCATTTGTTTTACTAGAACTTGTCCTCCTGACCGTTGTCCATCTCGCCGTTCCTCTATTAGGTTTTTCAGTTTCTGAGGGAGGTCGTTCTCGACTATTAGTTGTTTTGGCCGTGGATGATGCTCATAAACAGCCTGAAACAATGGCAAAAACCAAGACTGAACATCCACAAAAGCCAAAGAACCATTACCCAGTAGTGATCGTACACAAAACAACAGTGTTTTCTTATGATATTCCATAAAAAAAACAAATATCCAAGCTACCAATTTCTCAGACAATCATGGGGAAACAATCGCATTTATCCATATCCAAAGTAACTGAAATCAGAATACCGACCTTGATAAGTTTCAAGAGATTAAGCCGAGCAATAGCATCTTGGTGGTCCAGCCTTGAGATAAGTAATGGAGTCAACCCATTTACAGCTAAGGTCGTATTGATTCGAGATGATTTCCTGCATTAGGGAAGGAAAAAGAATTAGTGCATCTAACAGCTGTTTGCAATGCATCAACAGATTACTAAGTCAAAGAGAAGCTCTTGTCCATTGGCTCAGTCATCAGAGGGTAAGCGAAGTGTTAACTTCAGTAGTGCTATGCAAGTACATATTACTCAGTTCAATGATTTTGTGAGATTAGGACATTTGACGAGAGATAATATATATGTAAAAACTACGTACGTGATAATCTTCAAGAATGGCTCCAATATGTGAACAAAGTGTCTCTCTGGGCAGCTCTGGAAGAATTTAACCAGTTTCTGGATAGCATCTTTTTTAAGCAAAGCCTGTTCCCCCTTGCGGTTGTCGTTGTCGTGTGCCAAGCAAACAGCAATTGAATCTAAGGCTATCACGGACCAAAATTCATCATCTAGCAAGCTCAAGTAAACATCCAGACCACCATGGGCCCTTAATTGCTCTCTTGAATTACGGGATGCATGAGCCATATCACACAACAGCGGTAGTGCATATTGTTTCAGAGGAGAATCTGTCATGATAAAATGCATCAGGTGAGGAATGATTCCATTTTCAGCCGCTTGTTCCTGTCTCCTCTTATTTATTTTGCACAGGTTGAATAACGCACTGAGCACCTTCAGGAAAAAAAGGTTTTAGAAACATCAGTCTATGATAAACAACTAAAAACAGTAATGCAGAAACCAAGTTCACTTAAGGCATATAGTTCGAATGCCTTCTATCTCTGTGATTCCTCCTCCTGTTTCCAAATAGGCCTGGGAATTCATGACGATCAAAAGACCAGAACAAGAAAACCCAACTCCAATCTTTCAAGCCTGCAGATTTATATCTAAGTCAAGAAGGTAACCTCATGATGGATTTGATACACGAGAGGGCCATCCTTAAGCTCAAGGTTGGGAATCAAGTGCTTAATCGCATCTGCTCGCTGAAGATTCTCCAAGCAATTTGGGTCAGTGGATAAGTGATTGATGCATTTCAGTATCTGAACAAGACAACACATAATAGGTGTGAGAAAGAAAGAATTGTAAAACAACCCGAGTAAAAGGAAATATCAGAGCACTTTCAGTACCTTCAGAAGGATAGGAGGTTCTACCCGGTTGAACATCTGGAAAAGACGACTAAGCAAGCTTTGGCTACACATGTATGATTTTACTGTTGTATCTGCTCGAGCAAATTCAAGGAGGAGGTCGGCCACTTTCTCCAAATATTCCCTTGCAACGTCTGAATTCAGAGTTGAAACCATGTGGGCAAGTAAACCGGATGATGTAGCGCTTCCAGGTCTAGCATTTAGAACACCTGAACCCGAGAGTACACCAGATGCCGTCTGAGATACAATCTCAGATGTCGAAGCAGCTCCTTCAGTAGCTGCAACCTTCTTTGTCACCGTTTTACTGGAATGTCTAGTTGCATTATCAAGATTTCCATTTTCTCTTCCACGCCCAGAAACCTCTGAAGAAACAATGCAATGATATGGTGAAGAAAAAGTTTCAAAATATATGCCTGCAGAAGAGTCAGCCACACCAAATATGACCTTATATCTGACCACATCAACAAAATCTAGAAATCGACAAGCAGGCGCGAGAACATATTTTTGTGCCCTAATTTTTTCCCCTAAACTATTGACATGGATCTAAACTCTACGCCAGACATTGCTCTTCTAGAGGTACCAATAACCAAGAAAGACAAGGACACAAGTGGCCAGTCAAACCTTAAAAGTTACCTGCAAATTCAGCCATCAGAAAATCTAGTTCTCCATTAGTTTTCTTCTCATTTGTTGCATGCAAGAGGGGAAGTATGTTTTCATGTCTCTCTAAACCAGCGATGTGCTTTACATAATCCAGTTGACCAGAAAAATGTCTTGAAGGAGGTTCCTTCTCAAGCAAGCTAAGCAAAGGTCGAACTTGTTCTGGTTGAGAAGCTGTCGTACTAGTAAAACCATTAGATGCACCTTCCACCAACTTCTGAAGCCTATCTGTAGATGTCCTATTGGCAGAGAGAGATATCCTCTGCTGTCTAACATCAAATTCTGTGGCTGAAATTGAAGCATCTGGTGCAACACTGCTTGATCTCGGCCTCTCACCATCTAGGTGTCGGGGATCAAGTTGATTGACATCTGATCTTTGAGACTGTGAAGTAGAAGCACGGGAAGGATCTTCACCACCTCCATGCCTAGTTTTCAATGCATCAGGCTGCTGATCAATAGCACTGAGAGATATCTCATTCTGAATAAAAATAGGATGATTAGGATCAAGTTGACCAGAGCGTGCATGTGTAGCTTGACCATCCACAATCAGTGTTCCCCCTGATATAGAAGCCAGTCGAGTTGCCTCATTCAAGCTATAAAGAGTGTTGATTAACCTAAGAAGAATTCCATTCTTTGCAGCTATACGACAGAAGTCATTTCTCAGGGTTGATCTCTGGAGCTTAAATACCTGCCACATCCCATCAATAGCTAAATGAACCATCACCCTGGACAAAAAAAAAAAGATCGGATCAGTAGAGTGTACAATGAACATAAAACAGAAAGGAGAAAATATGCACTCACAGAAATTTGTCACACAGTGAGAATATGTACTAAACGATCTCCAACTAGGATGCATATCAGAAATTATGCACAACAAATTTTTTTCAAAAAGAACAGAATGCGGCCTAAGGCTAAAAAATAAGTAATAGACATGACTCCATGCGCAGGCACAATACCATGTCTCTGAGATGACATATTCAGTAGAAACTCACACTATTTTTTTCATCTCATACGCTAACACAAAAATTACCGGAAAAAAATCCAGTCACCATGAGAGGACAGGGCAAACAGTACAAACCTGTATTTTGCATAATCAGCCTCAAGGAATCCAACCAAAACGGGTATTCCCCGGCAAGCTATAAACATTTGCAACGTCAAGGAGCTGTAAAGAACCTTTCATGTCAAACCCAAGCATAGGGAAGAAAATGATGCACAGCAACAAAAACTTGAAGAAAACCCATAACCTTGATTGACAAAGCTGCTGCAAGAAATAAGCTGCTTCCCTACGAACTTCTCGCGGACGATCCCGATCAGGACCAGCAAAGCTCATGACAACAGGAATCTGTAATTTGACTTGGCATAACTCAGAAATTCATAGTACCTTCGGAGTCGTAACGTAAAAACCTACACCATCTGACTAGTTACAGAGTAACAGAGAATTCATGTACTCAGCAACAAGATGAGGATAAACTATTGAACTTGAACAACCTACCATCTTGTCTTAACAAGCCAAATGAATACTCGATATTTAACACCTGTCTTGTGATAAACTAAGTCTATTATCGTTAAATTTTAAAAGATCCAGACAACTATACCAAGGAACTATTTGGTAACTCGTCAATTAGAGAACGAAGTTCGTAAGACCAGACTTACAAGGCCAACAAGACAAGCATTTTCCTGGAAGTCCTTGTTATCTTTAATGATTTCGTTCATCAGCTGCAGAACAGAGCATATAACCTGGAAACACCAAAATATATTATCCTAATCATAAGCCGCTCGATAATTACAGCAAGTTGATGACCACATATGATGGAAGACAACCTGCCAATTGCAAATAAACTTACACAAGATTTGGGAATATCGAGCAGATCCATTAGAGGAAGGAAACCATGCTGTGTCACGAAAACTGCTTTTTGCTCTGGCCTCTGATGAAAAATACCGATAAGTTTCTGACAGGCAGATACTATTGCATCTTCTGATTCATCTGGCCTTAAACAGCTCACCAATTTGCTAAACTCAACTGCCTATCAAGTAAATCGACAATAAATATCAAGACATGCTATCACAGAAAACATGAAACAGCAACAAAAAGAATCAAAGGTTTCCAAATCGACATTTAATGACAATTACACAATATTTCCCCACTTAGAGCATTTAGTGACTTGACTATATAGATACCAACAGATTGCAGGAGCTTAAAAGTAAAAAAGAATTGCTGAATACCTGCAGAGGAAAGAGATTCTCCGCAGGCAACTTTTCATCAAATACCTGAGAAACAAGACACCGAAAAAATGTTAAATAGGAACCTATTTGAATTATTAAACCTACATATTTTATTCAAGATATACCAAGCCATCAATGTCGATGACATCATCCTTTAGAACACCCATCATCAAGCGGAAAAGATCACCACCATCATTTGACAGCCCTGTTTCACCCTCCATATGTTTCTGAGCAATTGTAGCCCTCAACTTTGTGGCCAGGTCGTTTTTTCCACCATCAGCCGCAGGAGAATCACCTTGGTTGGCATTTGATGTGGGTACAGATGTTGAGGCTTCATTTGTTTTTCCATCAGTACCTTTAACCAATGGATGAAACAAATCATCCAAAGAAGCATCTCCAGGAGGATCGCTAAACCTAGTCAGTTCATTCCCTCCAACATTTGATGGAGTCTTCACAGCCTTCAAAGTAGAAACAACAAGGATATTTAACTTATGAAAAACAATCCAGTGAATAAGGAGGAAATTACAGTCTGAGCCCCTTGTAGGTCTTCATCTCAGACAAAGGCAAGCACCATCATATTACCTCCCAGTAAAAAAAAAACACATGTATGGTGGATTAAGGCACTTAATATGAATAGTTTCAACACACCATTCACCAATCTATAGAAACCTAGAGTTCAGTTAGAAGAAGATAGTAATTAGTGCATGCATTTATTAGAAGAATTCTATAAAGAATACGTCTGCCTAAGCATGACCAGGTCCCAACAAGAAACAAAAACTTGTTCCAGTGTAAAAACATGAGTACAGTGGTTATGGAATTTGAAAAACAAAATGCAAAAGAGTAAAACCCAGAATTGTTTTGATAATTAAAAGAATTCGGAACTTATGATTCAATCAAACCATAGCATATCCCCTTCATCGTTGGGCTATTATTGGACAAAGCAAAAGAATGAAACAAACCTTCAGAAGGCCACGATCTTGGCCCTTTTGTCCAAACCCATGCCATGTCTGTTCAGCCGGGAAGGAACTTTCTTTCCCCATATGTTTTGTCCCCACAAGATTTCTAATTGTTTCAGACGCTTCCACTACACCATTTCCATGTGGTTCATCATGGTCAAACTTCCCATTATACTCTGATAAATCTTGAGAACTCATCTTTGTGTTTGAAAAGACTATGGTAGAGCCTGATTGAATGGCAGATTGCTGAAGAATAGAAAATGTAGGAACTTGATCTGACATTAGACCATCTTCTGAATTATCTGGTGTTTCCTCATCAAGATCACTGAGAAAGGATCGATCCTTGTCAGACCTCAAACTTGCCACCTCCTCCAGAAGCAATTTGCTTTTCGATTTCTGACGCCAAAAAGGTCATGTATCAGTAGCTTTAACAAAGGCCATCTCAATAATGTGATGATGACAAGGAAGCTTTAACATCTCCTCATCCTCATCTTTGAAAATTTGACTAGTCGTAATTCAAAAAGTAAGATACTTGACTAAAAGATCTCACAGATTTTGATATCCCCACTTTTTCGGTAGGAAGGTTTTCAGCTGCACATTGGCCATCCTCATCAGCATTTTCTGAATCTGCTGAAGCTTCCTGAATATATCTGCAGATATGAAATTCCTCAAGGAAGAAGTCCAATTTAGTGAACGCAAATACAATCAGGCTAATAACAAAGTCTGAAATACTTACTATTCCCAAAATTAGCAGAAAATTTACAGATTCTCACCTAATAGTTCCACTATGGCGGAGCGATGACTGCAACGCACGTCTAGAGTTCCGTATCCAAGGATGAGAGAGCAGTGTCTTAGCATCAGACCTCTGCCTGGCATCCTGCGCTTGAAGATAGAAATTGAATGTATCCACTGATTTTAGATAATCAAAAGTGTCCTAGATTTCAGAAGAGGACTGACAAAAAAAGATAATGTCCTCAAAAGTATCGAAGATCAAACGTGACATAAATCCAAGCGTACCTTCTTAAAGCATTGACGCAGGAAGTCGGTAATGTCTGGAGACAGGCTATCAGGTATTGGAGGGCGTTCATCCTGAACAAAACAAAATGAAAGAAATGCTTTTAGTTGCTTCCCGCTGAAATATTTTGCATTATTCCAGGAGAGAAGCGATTTACAAGGAAGAGTTAGGATAATAGAAAAAGGCAAAAGAAGCAGCAAAAATTTGTGTGACTTGAACTCATAAGATGTTGGCAAAACCTGAACGATGCGGAAGAGGGCTGGCATGGGTTGCAGATCATAGTATGGTGGCACACATGTCAAAAGCTCGATAACCGTGCACCCAACACTCCAAATGTCAGAAGCGGCACAAACTCCTGACATTTCAATGACCTGAAATAAAATTGGAATCTCCGTGAACACACAGCTAAGAATTCCATAGAGGAGAGAACAACACATCATGAGAGAAAACTAAGAAGGGAAAAAAAAAAGTCCATATATCATTGTCGTGTGGACCTATGTGCTAGTAATACACCATTTCTGAGGCGCTTGTCTATATTCCGATCTCAGAAATGCAAGATCGTACCTCGGGAGCCATCCAGTATGGAGTTCCTACAACCGAATGAGTGTTGACATCAGCCTCATTTAGTTTAGTTGCAACTCCAAAGTCAGCTAGCTTGACAAGACCCTGAAATATAAGATAGCCAAGCGTCTCTCAAAAGTAACCTAAGAGAATCTTTTGCATCACCAATTTCACGGAACACAACGCATCTTGAACTAAATAAGCACTAAAGAAATTTTAAACAGCATAAGACCATGGAGATGATGTCTTCCTACTCTTAGAAATGACATGTAACAAATTAACTAACAAGATTCAGAGAGAATAGCAAAGCACACCTCCTTGGTTGTCAAAATGTTTGCACCCTTGATATCACGATGAATCACCCCCTGCTCATGCAGATATACCAAGCCTTCCAAGACCTATTTCACTAATCAGTACACGATGCAGAAAGAATAAATTTCACTAGAAGGATATATACACTAACCTGGGCAATGTATACAGCTACCAGTGATTCTGGGAAAGGTCCAAACTTATTTGGTTTGATAATGTTTGCAAGTGAGCCATTCTCAACATACCTGCAAATCATAAACCCACTTCAGCTTCCAAACCATAGTCCAGAAGAACCAAAAGGAAGGCAAGCTTAAGCTTACTCACTCCAGAATAATATGAAGGTGTGTCTTTGTCTTCAACGATCCAAGATATTTCACAATGTTTTTATGGTTCAAGTTCTGCATTGAAACAATCAACTTAGATGGGGAAAAGGGAAGATAATTCTTTTACCCACAGAACAAAAAATCAGGAGTAAATAAATCTACAATTCAAAAGGTGATTGAATTGACTTCAGTTTCAGCATACTTAGCATCAGTGCAATCTATATAAAACATATATATCCTCCATTCAGCAACAGAGACAAAAACAAGTTCTATCCTCAGTAGGACAAAGGTAAGGTTATACAGCCTAATGTACTTCACCACGGCGAAAGTAAAACCATGAAAGCTCATCAGTTTAAGGTAAAGGATGTGCCATGGAACAAGAATGTACTGTGGAACAATGAAGAAGGGACATGGAAGGAAGAAAGCATCCACCTTCAATAGATCAATTTCTAGCTGGAGAAATCATCCCAACGGCCGAACAGCATCCACATGTAAAACCACGATTCAGTCAGAAAAGCAGTGAAAAGTAGATGAGGCAAAGCATTTGTTCAAGGAAACAAACAGATAAAAATGGCACTATGTATTCCTATTCTTAACCACCACTCCCCCTTCTCTTCCCCTAGCGGTCCCACAACCTTTCCAAAGGTGTATGAAAAGATGCACAAATTCTCTGGCTATTATGAGATCTCAAACTGTCTTACAAATGCTTATCAACGGAATGCATCACCCAACAGCTCAATATGAACTGAATAAAGTCAGGGCATACAAGACAAGCAAGAAGAAGAAACCCCAAACGGCTACACAATATAAATTGTCGAGGAAGATATTATCAAGGCTCATCAATCGAACAAACCATGATTGTATTAAGATCCTCCTGAGCAATATTCTCCAACGAGACTTGCTTAATGGCCACAAAGTCCCCATTTTCCAGGTCTAATCCTTTGTAAACTCGACCATAAGCTCCTTTCCCAATTTCATCTCCCAGCATCTGCGCCCAAAACCAAGTATTAACCATGGAAAGACGAAAGTAGTAGAGGAAATCTCCCAGTGCTCGTAAAGTACAAGCTTTTAGCAGGCGAAGCATCAAAAGAGCATAAAAACCGAAACGTTCCAGACAGTACAGAGTCTAATTTCTCGTCTTGATTCCAAATTGCCCAACGAACAAACCCGAAAAACAAAAGAAACCCTAAACTAAACCAGAATCAGAAATCAAACCCCGACTGAAAACCCCAGAAATTGGGGAAATTAAGCTCACGTATTTGTTGTCGAGAGTCTTTGATTTGTGAAACTGGGACGACGTCATTTGCCGAGCCATGTCTTCCCGCTCCCTCCCCCTCCCTCGTCAAATAAATGCCCGACGATTGCTCCTCAAGGAAACCCCATAAATCGATCCATTAGGAGCGACAATTCACATAAATTAGGGATAATCGAAGATTTGAGAGATTCAACAAAGGTTGAAGGTGAGATGCCAGCCCTAATACAGTACTGAAAATGGCAAGAGAAATACGAAAATTGAAATGAGGGGAGAATTTTAAATGAGGACAGAAATGTTCGGGCTGGAAAATGGGTTGACCGGGCAAGGGTAGTTATGTCAATTCCCCCATAATTCCTCTTTCTCCTTTCTCTTTTACACATTTAACATTTGACCTCTCTCTTTTGCAAATTTAACATTTGACCTCTCTCTTTTACAAATTTATACTTGGCCTCTCTCTTTTACAAATTTAGACACTTGACCCCTTACTTTTAGTAATTCACATTTGACCTCTATCTTTTACGTGTTTAACGTTTGTCTTCGCCAATCTTTTAATTCCTGAACTCTTATTTCCAATTATAACTGCATTATTAATTTCAGAAAAAAAAATATATATCAAAACAATTACGGAAAGCCTTTAAAAAATAAGAAAACTAACATGGATTTTAAATTTGATGGCGTGTTTATAAATGTCTAACAATGATCATTAGATAGCTTGACAATAAATTATATAATAGAGTTATTATTTCATACTGAATGATCTTTTTTAACACTCATCATAATGCTCGGATTTTATAAATTCATCAATTATCCATTATTTCTTAAACTAATTATTTATGTATTGATTCAGTTTACTACGAGCTATTAATTCAAGTCAAGAAAAAAAGTAAACAAAAATGTCAAGCAGCGCGTAACCTGCGGACGCTGGGAGGCGAGCGTGGGGGCAAAAAGGGGTGAGTAAGCATTACCAGAAACAGAAAAGAGAGAAATAACAAGGAAACTGAGAAAATCGGACAAGCGAGACAAAGATCAAGAAACCCTAAAGGGGAGAGGGGGAGAGAGAGAAAGAGAGGAAGAGAGAGGATGAGGAAGAGGAGGACGAGGTCACCGAGGAGGGAGATGACGTCATCATCATCGGGCGGGGGGAATACGATGAAGATGAAGAGAGGGGCGTGGACGGAGGAGGAGGACGAGAAGCTGGTGAGGTGCATAGAGAAGGAAGGGGAAGGGAAGTGGAGGACGATGCCGAAGAGGGCGGGTCTGCTCCGATGCGGAAAGAGCTGCCGTCTCCGCTGGATGAATTACCTCAGACCCTCCGTCAAGAGAGGCCATATCTCCCCCGACGAGGAAGACCTCATCCTCCGCCTCCACCGCCTCCTCGGCAACCGGTATGTATATATATATATATCAGACAGTCTCTCTCTACATATATACATATATATTACATATACATATAGGAGAAACCCTAATCACCATGTACACACGTCACATCATGTACTCATCTTACTATTGAAACCTGGCTTCTGTGCTTTGGTTTGTTGTTCCTAGGGCTTCTATCTCTCTTTCTTTCTATATATATATATATATATATATATATATATATATATGTGTGTGTGTGTGTGTAACATTCTTATTTTTTTGTATATATGTGTGTTGTGTGTATGTGTTCTTACGTATCATACATATATATATTATGCATCTAGATATGCGAAACATGCGGATTGTTATAGTGGTTTATTTTATATATATATATATATATATATATATATATATATATAGAGAGAGAGAGAGAGAGAGAGAGGGCGAGCGTA